AACTCTCCCTCATTTTTATGCCTTATCTCTATCCCATCATATATCTGTCCAGGAAGCGTGGCGATATTTTTCTTGGGACATATATCCTCGAAGGCCTCTGTTCACCCGAGAAGAAGAGCTCTGGAATTCACTATCATCCAATTTTGCTACCCCATCTGATCATTATGGTGACGACCGCCTAATATGGAAGCTATCCCACGACGGCATCTTTTCGCCCCCCTCCAATTTTTGACAGATTATGGGATCCACACTTGCCGAAGAAGTGCAAATTCTTCATCTGGTGTGTTATTCACCGAGGGATCAATACTCATGAGAAGCTCCAAGCTAGAATGCAGAATATGTATCTTAATCCTAGCATCTGCCACCTTTGCTGCTGTGATTTTGAAACCTTGGGATCATGTCTTTTTGCACTGCCCTTTCACGTCACAACTTTGGCACCGTCTTTTTGCTGTGTTCCATCTAATCCTGCCTCTCCAAGAACATATAGAAGCCTTCATTATGGAAGCCTTCTTCAATCCCTGTAGCAGTAAACGAAATACTCTTTAGTGTAATGCGGTGCTCGATCCTTTGGCTCGTCTAGTTGGAGCACAACAGCAGGTGCTTCACGGATTCCTCAAAGTCGGCCTCTATTTTGTGGGATGATATTATGGTTCTTGCATCAACATGGTACCATCTTTTGTAATTATGATATCTCTTTCCTTTCTTGTTTCTCACATACTTCTAATGAAATGGTTCCGATATCTTTTAAAAAGAAAAAATGTCTAAGATAAATAAAAGCGATTTTGACGACTAAGATGAAGCAACAATTTTAATGTCGTCCAATAATTTAACTTTTGATTTGGAAACTTCCATGAAGTGGTTATTCCTCCCCAACCAAATATTCCAAACAACATAACCAAAAACAGTTGGACCATATAATACATTTATGGGGAGAGATATTTAAGCATTTCTTTTTAAAATCTTTAAATTTGTGCTCCATGTCAGAATCAAAGTTTTCATTGCTGAGGGTGTGAATGTCTCTCTCTCAAGGAGGAGAAATGTGATTTGGGTTTATGGTTTTACCTCTCTCATTTGGTTCATTTGATCGCAAATTAAACAACAATCGCCTCTTTATATAAGTCTATAGATCAGCCGCTCATCTTTGGAAAAACATCAAAATAGCTGTTCTTCTAGATCGTCAAAATCTATTTTTTTTAAAAAAAAAAAATTATGACATATCTATCATCTCTCTTAACTCGAGTTCTTTATTTAGCCTCTTTTAAATAAAAAGGATTTAAACCTCTAAAACTAGAACCCATCAACTTCACAATCTTTTTCATCTTTCACTTGATCACACATACAAGTCCATGAGAGTTTAGTGTTCCCTACACTACACAGGGTGATCAATAGTTCATTTTACATTTATAAATGCTTAATACAACTCTGAGGTTACACAAAAGGCAACAAAATTTAAATGAGAAAAGAGATCACTTTAAAGTTTGTTTCAGATGTGAATTGCAATTTCCTTTTCTGGTGGATTTGAAACTGATTCCTGATTCTTACTTTCTGTATTGTCACAACTTTTTTCCTTGCTTTTCCCCCACAAAACACTATAAAGGCTCAAAACCAGTAACACCGCACCTATTATACTGTTAAAACACAACAACAAAACAAACAACAAACAATTAATAAAAACTTTATACAAAAAAGTATACCTAATCCATGGGTTGGAACTAATTTTGCGATTCTTTATTTAACAAAAGGTTCATACACTTTGCTATTTAAACATGACTTTCAAATTTTTTATATTCTAAAATTCTCTTATTAAATAGAATAACTTAGACCCATTGGATAGCATTTTCATTTTTCATTTTCTTTCTACTTTTAAAAATTATGTTTGCTTCCTCACAGTTCTTTAATATGCTTTAATTTTCACATTTCTTAAAGATACATTTGAATTCTTAATCAAATTTAAAAAACCAAAAAGAAAATTTGTAATATGGGTGATAGATGGATTTGCCAATATATTTGTAAATATTACATAAGGAATAAGATTTTTTGCAATTGACAATTTTGTAGGGTGGGCATCTACATCATTAATAGAAGTGTATGTCACTGATATACACTAATAAACTTATATCACTATTAGACATAAGTGATAGACCATTATAGACGAGATGGGCAGGAAAATTGTGTTATATGATCTACAAATGTTTTTAGCTTGTGCTAAATTTGCTATTATTTTTGGCCAAATTGTTACCTGTCCAACTACTCTTTTTAAAAAGCAGATATCAAACAAAAAAAAATACATAGATGAAAGTAATGTTTATCATGCAAGCATGTACCTGCCGAGGCTAACTCCATCGCTTAAAAGAAACTGGGAGCCGACTAGTGTCATAACAAGATTCAAAGGTGTGGTAACAGCTTGGAAAACTGGACCCTTCTCCTTGATGACCCAACATGATAGATAGTTTCCAATGCAGATCACAACAATTCCCTGCAGTAAAAGTTGTGTAGGCCGTTACAGGAGGTTTGCAAAAAGAAATAGTAGAACAGCAATTGAAGAAAACTGCTGTTCAACAAAAATTTTTAGTTCGTCGCTTAAAAAACGACGAAAAGAGTAACACATCACAAAGGAAGGGACGAAAGTGGTTTTTGTCACTTTTTAGGCCACAAAAATATATATCTTTCCATCCCTTACTTGAGCGACGAGCAAATCTTTTCGTCGCTGAATCCTATTTTTCTTGTAGCTAGAGGGAGAGAGAGAGGTCCATACACAATAAAGAACAGCAATGAGGCGAATGTCCCAACCCAGCTTCCACTGAGAAGGGTTTCTTTCCACTGCAATGGCCACAACAAATGACTGAATCGCACTTGACAAGGTTTGTCCACACGTTAACACAAGTGGAGACGGGCAAGTCTCCATTACCAAAGCCTGAGAATGTGTATATAGAACAGTGGCAGATATAGAAGTTGCAATTTGATGAGAAACTAAATTAAAGGGTTTATTTTATTACCTGAAGGACAAACCAGAAACCAATTAAAATGGAGGCTATGAGGAGCATAAAACAGCCAATAATCCATGTTTTGTTGGAATTAGAAAGATGAGATTTTTGGTGGGTTTGAAAAAGGTGATAATTGAAGAATGGCTTCATATAAGGGCCTTTGTAAAATGCAAGTACTGCAACTCCTGCAATGCACAGCAGTATGCCTCCAACCTTTGCCATCCCACTCGCCTTCCTCATGTTTACTTTCTCCATCCTGTCAACATATTGTAATTATAGGAGCCTTGATGAGTTGGCTTAAGCAAAACAAATGTATTCTTGCATTATAATTTATATATAGGATCATAGTTCAGGGGATGAATATAGATTCAGGTTGTAGAGCAGTGAGGAACATGAAACAAATCCCAAAACTTTGAAGGGAAAATCTTATTTAAGTATTTTTTTGAGTACTCTCTTTGACTACCCCAAACGGTGTAGTGACTCATGTGTGAAGGTGAGGTTTTGAAAGTTATAAAAGTTGCTCTTGTAATCCCCTCGTAGTAGTCCAGTTGGCAAGGACTATCCTGACTTAGAGGTGTTCGGACTTTCTGATGAGCTTAATACCAAAAACCTTTGGTGTCTCTCAGATCCGAGCCTTGAGGCGGGTGCAGGTACTTCTGGAAATAAGAGAGTAAAGCTCCGACTCTCTATTATAAAAAAAAATTGAAGTTGCTCTTGTAATATAAAATGACAAAAAAGGAACTACAAATTAAATCTACAAGGTACTACAATCACACAAGATATTTCCACACCTTCCACATCAGGTTATGATATTATCTGATTTTGGAGAAATTATTTGGTAGAGTTGGAACAATGTAACTGTCACAGTTCTACACTACTAGATCACTAGGGAACATTCTAACATGTGTTGAATAGTAAAGTTTCAAATTAAATATGGGCAGTGGTCACCCCACTACACTTTGTGTATCATTGACTGACTTTCCAATGGTATGATTATTATTTTTTAAACAAAAAAAGAAAAAGTAACATATTCTGTCAAAGCGAGAATAACTCTATGTTAATTGACATATATCTCCAATAAAGATGTTGTGAGTTTGATCTCCATCATATATGTTGTACTAAAAAAAATAAAACAGGTCATGATCTCTACTTTTAAAATTGAAAATCATGGTATTATGTTCTACTGAGTTCAATGCTTTCTAAAAGTCACACTAAAAACAAAATTGTTAAGCAAACATTCAGATATATTTGCATATCACTATTGATTTCAGTTTAGTTTTTAGTACCTAAAAATGAAAGCAAAGAAGAATGTGGTGACTGGAACAATGTTAAATGCTGCTGAGCCCAAAGTTGCAGATGTGTAATTAACGCCTATTCCATTAGCATTCAAAGTCAACGTCCTCCTGCAATTTTTGTATACAGAAATTAAATACTATGTAAAATGGATAATACCCTTAAAAAGATGTGTCTAATTCAGAGAATTAAAATCCTTATAATTGTACAAACCCCAGAAACGCCAGCATGAAGATCTTGCACACTTCACCGACTGATAAACAACTTACTTCTTTTCTACAATAATGATCCGTGGAAAAGGAAAACCAAAAAAAGGGTCAAAAGAGAGAGGAATTGAATATAGTTATGAATCCTAATTTAAATTTAGTATTTAATTACCTTTTGAAAATGATGGTAAGAGGCAGTTGGAGGAGAGTTCCAAGAGCTTGCCTGTAGAAAATGAAAATATAAGTGTTCATACCAGAAGCAAACGCAGCTTTTGACAAAATACTCATCCCAGCAAAAGTGATTTGGAAGATAATGGCAGCAAAATAAGGCTTGGTTTTTGACTCCATTCTCATGAATCCCAATTCTCTTCTCTTCCTTCTGCTGTGTGTGTTGTTTAAGTAAAATCAAACAGAACCAAAGCTCACCATTCAATAAAATATATAGGTGAAATACAATACAAGAATCTTCTTTTCATTTCAAGTAATTAATTTCCGCTTTGAGTGACTGTCCATTAAATTGCATATTTTAGTAACGCATTTAAATGTAATCTGAATGGCTCAGCCAAAGTGCATCTCCAACTTAAACCTACTTTTAACATTAAATATTCTTTTTGTCCACACAAAGATACAAAGTTGAAATTCTAGCATTTCTAACTGCAATAATGTAAGTTGTTTGTGCAACAAAGTACGGTCCTAACCGACCAGATTGAGATAGACCAAATGAGCGAGCTAAAGTACCAGAGCGAGCTGGAAGATTTTTAACTAGAATGGTCTGTACAAGGAGGCAAACACTCCGACGCTCAAGTCGATAAGAAGCTCGACCAAAGTGTTAAAACCAAGATAGAATCAGATACCAGGTTATAGAGTGGGGCCCATAATTTATAGGTTTGGGTGTCAGCATATCCGACCAGCGGTTGAGCATGTCAGATCGTTGCTATTTCTGTTGGAGATGGTCGTGCTTGATCGGGCGGAGTTAAGGCTCTAGCACACATTGATTTGGTTAAGTAAAGGTGGTCGTTCCTAGAGCAGATCAAGTCTATGAAAGTGCGCACCCAATTGGCTATTTTACTCTACCAATTCGGTCTCTCGAACCGTCTGGTTGTTGTCCATTCAATGTCCTCTACGTGGCAGTGCTTTTTTACCTCTCCAACATAAATTATACCAAACCCTCTAATTATAAAGAAGGTGAGAAACATACCTGGAAGAAGATAGGCCGGAGAAAGACACTCCAAGTTAGGGGAGATTTGGTTGACCAGGAAGAACCTCTATTTTAATGTTATCTCAAAGCTACAAAATAGATCTGTGAACTTCCATGAATAATCGGTTATTTCTCTTTAGCCACAGTTGCTATTAGACTGATACAAATGGGTTGCCCCGTCAAAACGTTATTCTTGCCATTTGAAGGAGAAAGATTCAAGCATTCCACAGTAATATTCTCAATGTATTAGTATACATCGAGAATACATAAGTCCAAAATAAATAAAATAGTACATCATTTAAAAAGGAAAAGAAAAAAAAAAGTTTAAAACATCCTAATCTTTCTCCCCCAACTTCCATACTTATTTTATTCTGGCTTCTAAATTAACTCTCAAATATGGTAAATTTTATTCCATTACTACTTAAAAATTCACTTTTTGTTCTTACTCTTAATTTTTCATTACTCGCTTAACAAAGAAAAATGTAAACAACTCTCAAACTTTGACACCTAGGGAAAAAAACTTCAAACAATAATTGTCTATACAGATTTCTGCATTTTTACAGATACCTCAAAATGATCAGCTTCCAGGCTTTGGGAAGACATGCAGATTTTGGCTTCGCAATGGTCCTCCAAAGCTCCCTTTTTTTTTGTAATCAGGATATTAGCACCATTTCCTTAAATTGGAACGCTTTTATTTAAGTCTGTTACCTTTTATGTATGTTTCTCATGTACTATTTTTAATGAGGGTCCTCATTTCCAATTATATATCTGTATATATATATATACACATATATTATATATATATGTCCATACAGAAGATATCTGCTCATCTCATTTCATAAATAAAAGAGGCATCTATATCAAGTTTCCGATAAATAATTTTGTGTAAACTTTAGAGACTAGGAAAAAATATTTAAATTAATTAAAAAAAAACAAATTGAGATTAAACAAAATTAAAAAGCAAAAAATTAGGTGAGAAAAGAGATGGATCACTTTGAGTGAGTGGAGCTCCATGAGTGGGAAAGGTGCAGATACAAAATAGGTTCAAAACCAACCTGATGTTCAACACAACCAAAAGATAATTATTATATATATACAATATGAAAAAGTATATATTATGTATGCATACAAAAGATTAAAGGCTAAATATATAAGTTAATTTAGTCTCTAATGGTGGGGTGTCTTTTCAATTTTTGTTCCTATTGTTTAAAGAGTTTCCAATTTAATTCTTTAAGTTTTAATGTATTTTTCAATTATATCACTTTTTGTGATTGAATACTAAAAAAAAAACAGCAAAAAATATTAAGTGAGAAAGGAGATGGCTTTCAATGAGTAGGGAGCTCCATGACTTTGGAAATGGAAGTTTGTTTCAAATGTTGATCTCCAATTTCCTTCTCTGGTGGAACTGAACCTGATTTGTCACTCTTACTTTCTGTATTACCATAACTCATTTCTGGAACTGAAACTGATTTGTCACTCTTACTTTCTGTATTACCATAACTCATTTCTTTGGTTTTCCCCCACAACACACTGTAAAGGCTCAAAACCAACAACATTGCACCTATTATACTGTCAAACACAACAAAGAAAAAGTTATATAAAAATGGGTTTTCTATATATATATGTATATTAAGGTTAAATTACAAATTTGATCTCTATGATTTGAAAATAGTTTCACTTTTGGCCCTATGGCGCTTTAGAAGCTTCAATTTGGCCTATGATTTAAGTTTCGTTCAATTTAGTCCCTAAATTGTGTTTTATACCCACCTGAACAACTCTCCTATTTTCTTCTAATTTTTACTCAGCAATCAATCTTAAGTCTTAACACAATCAACTACAAAAATTAGCCAAATTAGAAAACCTTAGCTAGTTGTCAATATGATGATGGTAGAGACAATCTAAAGTTTGACAAGATCCCAGGAGCTAAATTAAAACTTTTTAAACTATAGAGACTAAATTGAACCTAAACTCAAATATTAGAGACGACCAATTGAAACTAATCCCAAATCATAAGAACAGAATGTATAATTTAACAAAAGAAATTTAACAAGAGGTTCACATATAATAATTAGTAAAAAATCATTATTCCTTCCTATATATATAAAATGACATCCAAATAGTCCTAACAATCTATTTCCCTTTTCCTTCTTTTACAAATTATTATAAATATAGTCTTGATTATTTTATCAAACAAGAGTTTCATGAAATAATGCAATAATAAAGTACTTAAAAGCCAAACTAGCTTTTACCTTCCCAAGCTAACTCCATCGTCTAAAAGAAATTGGGAGCCAACTATTGTCATAACCAGATTCAAGGGTGTGGTCACAGCTTGGAAAACTGGACCCTTCTTCTTGATGACCCAACATGATAGATAGTTTCCAATGCAGTTCACAATAATTCCCTGTAGTAAGTTGTAGGCCATTGCAATGTAGGTTTTGCAAAATGAAAGATTAGAAGAGAGAAAAAGAGAGAGATCCATACACAATAAAGAATAGAAATGAGGCTAATGTTCCAACCCAGCTTCCATTCAGAAGGGTTTCTCTCCACTGCAATGGCCACAACAAATGACTGAATCGCACTTGACAAGGTTTGTCCACACGTTAACACAAGTGGAGACGGGCAAGTCTCCATTACCAAAGCCTGAGAATGTGTATATAGAACAGTGGCAGATATAGAAGTTGCAATTTGATGAGAAACTAAATTAAAGGGTTTATTTTATTACCTGAAGGACAAACCAGAGACCAAGTAAAATGGAGGTTATGAGGTGCATAAAACAGCCAATAATCCATGTTTTGTTGGAAGAAAGATGAGATTTTTGGTGGGTTTGAAAAAGGTGATAATTGAAGAATGGCTTCATATAAGGGCCTTTGTAAAATGCAAGTACTGCAACTCCTGCAATGCACAGCATTATGCCTCCAACCTTTGCCATCCCACTTGCCTTCCTCAAGTTTACTTTCTCCATCCTGTCAACATAGTAATTATAGGAGCCTTGATGGGTTGAGTTAAGCCAAACAAATATATCTTACATTATAATTTATAAATAGGATCATAGTCAGGTGATGAATATAGATCTAGGTTGTAAAACAGTGAGCTAGGAACATGTAAAATCCAAAACTTTGAAGAGAAATCTTAGTTAAATATTTCTTTTGAGTACTCTCTTTGACTACTCCAAATGGTGTAGCGACACATGCGTGTGAAGGTGAGGTTTTGAAAGTTATTAAAGGTGTTCTTGTAAGCCCCAAGTAACAGTTCAGTTTGACAAAAGCTCAAGAGTCTCTTAGTCATATATTGGCTTAGAGGTCTTAGATTCGAACCTTCTGGTGAGTTTAATACCAAAAACTTTTGATGTCTCTCAGATGTGGGCCTTAGATGGGTGTGGGTATCCCTGGGTATTGCTCCCCGTTATCAAAAAAAAAAAAAAAAAAAAGGTATGGTTGATGTTTCTATACTCTCGGTTACAGTTACACTAGATCACTAGGTACATTCTAACATGTGATGAATAGTAAAGTTTCAAATTAAATATGGGCAGTGGGCACCCCAATACATTTTGTGTATCATTGAGGACTTCCCAGAAGATCAAAAGGGTATGATTATCATTTTTTAAACAAGAAAAAGGTAACATGTTTTCTCTCTACTTTTTAAAATTGAAAATCATGGAGCTATTGGTGCCATCCTTTGGAATATTTGGTTGGAGAGAAACAACCGAATCTTTGGGGACATTTATAAATCTCTAAATAGTTTATAAGAGGATATTATTGTCTCTGCATCTACATGGTCCTCAAAATCAAGTCTATTTTGTAATTACAATATATCTACTATTTCTCTCAATTTGAGTGCTTTCATCTAGGTCTCCTCTTTGGTACGTATGTCTCTCACATACTTTTAACGAAATATGGTACCTCTTCTTCTAAAAAGATTGAAAATCATGTGGTAGGGAATTATGGTCTACTGAGTTCAATGCTTTTTAAAAGTCACACTAAAAATAAAATTGTTAAGCAAACAATCAGATATATTTGCATATCACTATTGATTTCAGTTCAATTTTAGTACCTAAAAATAAAAGCAAAGAAGAACGTGGTGACAGGAACACAGTTAAATGCTGCCGAGCCCAAATTTGCAGATGTGTAATTAACGCCTATTCCATTAGCATTCAAAGTCAGCGTTCTCCTGCAATTTTTGTATACATAAAATAAATTAAATACTATTTACAATAGATGATACCATAAAAAGATGTTCAATTAATTCAGAGAATAAAAAAACTTAAAAAATTGTACAAACCCCAGAAAGGCCAGCATGAAAATCTTGCACACCTCCCCAAATGATAAACATCTTACTTCTTTTCTACGATAATAATCCAGGCAAAAGGAAAGCAAAAAAATAGGTTAAAAGAGAGAGGAATTAAATATAGTTAACTTATGAACCCTAATTTAAATTTTGTTTTTACCTTCTGAAAATGATGGTAGGAGGCAGTAGGAGGAGAGCTCCAAGAGCTTGCCTATAGAAAATGAAAATATAAGAGTTCATACCATAAGAAAAGGCAGCTTTTGACAAAATACTCATCCCAGCAAAAATGATTTGGAAGATAATGGCAGCAAAATAAGGTTTGGTTTTTGACTCCATTCTGATGAATCCCAATTCTCTTTTCTTGCTTCTGCTGTGTGTGTTGTTGTTTGAGTAAAAATCAAACAGAAGCAAAGCTCACCATTCAATAAAATATATATATATATATATAGGTAAATACAATACAAGAATCATCCTTTTCATTTCAAGTAATTAATTTCCACTTTGAGTGACTCTCCTTTAAATTGCATATTATAATAATGCATTTAAATGTTATCTGAATGGCTCAGCCAAAGTGAAACTCCAACTTAAGCCTTCTTTTTTTTCGAAAAAGGAAACCACTTCATTGATGAGATAGTATGCGAGGGACGTATACAAAAGAGATGAGGCTTAAATAAAAGAACTTCAATGTAATGGTGGTTTCATCATAATTACAAAATTGGAAAGATTTTGATGACCATCGTGATGCAGAGATTTTAATATTCTTCCAAAGGCTAGCAGATGATTTCGAAGAGTCAGAAAAAATTCTCCCATTACGCTCCAGCCAGATGTGCCACAAGCCGTTGCACCACAAGATATTTCTTTTAGATAGAGGTAGCACCAGAGACTCCTTTATAAAGAGGTCAATGAGTAAAGGGAGCACCATATTCACATGGAAGGTATCAAAAAGTCGATACCAAATAGAAGTTGAGTGGGAACAGTGAAGGAAAATATGATCCATAGTCAGCTGCCATATGACACAGAGATCAGCACCTATTTGGATTGATGCAAAGAGATGGGTTGCGCACTTGTAACTTGTCATGTGTGTTTAGTGCTCGGTGAGAGAGCACCATATAAAAGTAGGCTTAAATCTCGTGTGGAACAGAAGGGTACAAATTTAAGCCTACTTTTAATATCAAATATTCTTTTTGTCCAAAGAAAGATACAAAGTTGAAAAACTCTAGTATGTTTAACTGCAATAATATAGGATGGTGAGAAACATACCTACAAAAGAAGAGGTTAGAGAAAGACACTCCAAGTGAGGGGCAGAGATTTGGTTGACCAAGACGAAGCCTCTATTTTGACGTCATCTCAGAATTATGAAATAGTCCATGAATAATCGGTTATTTCTCTTCAACCACAGTTGCCATGTACGACTGATTCAAAGGCGTTGTTCCATTAAAACGTTCTTGCTATTTGAAGAAGAGATATCCAAGCATTCCACACTAATATTCTCAATGTGATTAGGATACGTTGAGAACACATGAGTCCAAAATAAATAAAAGAATATGTTGGAGCTCGAAATTGCTGAGCTCGGATGTAACGTAGATCGGAAGGATGAACTACGGCCAACTGCCTAACACCTTCCCCAAAACACTCTTGAGACCTGCAAAACAAAGTTAACACTCCGACGAGCAAGTCAGTTCTAGTCCGAGCTAACTTGTCGAGTCTATCTAGTATTGCGTACCTTGCGTTTAAGGCTAAGGTTTCTATTCATAGAAACTGGGCCCGACAAGAACTCTGACACACCCTAAAAATACGGGGTGTTGTCGGGTTCGGAAGAGACACGTTTACGGACTCCGCCTAGGTCGGCTCGTCCTTTTAGCTCGGATCGTAACCGCTGACCTGAACAACCTTAGGAAAATTTCTAATTTCATCCGCACGTCAAATTGACTTACCTCTCTGATTATGACACGTGGCAGGTCCAAATTCGCATCGAACAGAATACATCAAAAGAAGAAAGAAAAAAGTTTAAGACATCCTAAGCTTTCTCCCAACTTTCATACTTATTTTATTTCGGTTTCTAAAAATAACTCTCAAATGTGTTACTTTTATTCTATTACTACTTAAAAACTCATTTTAGTTCTTACTCTTATTCTTCCATTACTCGTTTAACAAAGAGAAATGTAAATCAGTTTCAAACTTTGACACCTAGACAAAAAAACGTCAAAACAATATTTGTCTATACAGTAGATATTTGCTCATATCAAGTTTCTAATAAATAATTTGATGTGTAAATTAACTTTAGAGACTAGGAAAATATTTTTAAAATTAATTACAAAAACAAATTGATTTTAAACAAATTAAAAAGCAAAAAATTAAGTGAAAAAAGAGATGGATGACTTTGAGTGAGTGGAGGGAGCTCCATAAGTGGGAAAGGGAAGGTCCAGTGCAGATATGACGTGGAATTTCCTTTTAACACAACCAAAAAATAATTAGGGATGGTTGTAAATATATCAAAAATATTTAGTAAAATTAGTAAAATAGTAATCACATTTAGTTTATTCAAATATAACACTTTTTTTTAAATGGAAATTCAATTTTAAAATGACAACTTTACCGAAATGATTTACATCTGTAATAATATATCTGTAATATATCTTACTATTTATATATATATATATATATATATACACACGTGATATACTACTGATATGAGTATCTGATATACTTTACAATATGTATGTGATATACATCTAATGTACTACTGATATGAGTGTCTGATATACTACTGATATGATTATCTGATACATTAATGATATAAGTGAAAATTATTGCTATATTTAAAATTTTAAAAAACATGTGACATATTTTGAAATACATAAAAGATATTTCCTACCCACTATAATTTTCCAAATAATTATTATATATACACAATACACATTAAAAAAAATTATGTATGCATATAAAGGATTAAATGCTAATAATAATATATGTTAATTTAATCCCTAATGTTGGGGTATTTTTTCAATTTTGTTCCTCTTGCAATTTCAATTTAAATTTAGTTCCTTATATTTTAATGCATTTTTCAATTATATCATTTTTTCGTGGTTGCTAACTATAAATTTAGTTGATATAAATTTAAAAGAGATATTAGGCTACTTACAACATGAAAAAGCAAAATGTCTACCAAACTTCTTAGAATTTTGGAGAAGAAATTAATTATTATTTCAAAAGGTTAAAAGAAAAAATTAAGAATTTGGACATCACAAATAAATTGTAGAAAAGTAAAACCCATCAATTTCCTTCGAGATGTCTCTTTCCCTCTTCACATATGCATCCATAAGAGTTTCCGCTACGAACTTTTATTCTTTTAGTTGTTCTAAAAACGAGATTTAAATCACAATATAGCTCAACCATTCGAACTATACTAATATTTTTAAACTAGAAATACCAGGTATGGTTCATTTGATTATATATTTTCGTGAATTATTGCTATTACATGCTTTTGGGCATATTTAATCTTCCTACTACACCCTAAAACATAACATTCCCTCAAATTTTGGAAACACTAATACTATATATCATTGGACTCACAACAAACTTAGGTTAAAAAACAGGGAAGCAATTTCCTCAACACTTAGAAGCTGAAATGGAAGTTTGGTTGAGCTGTGAATCTTCAATTTCCTCTTTTGCTGCAACTGGTAATTGGCTGCTATTCTGTGTATCACCACAATTCCTTTCTTTGCTTTGCCCCCATAAAACACTGTAAAGGCTCAAAATCAACAATATGGCACCTATTATACTGTTCAAAACAAAACAAACAGAAACAAAACTCGATTATATATATAAAAGATTAAATATACCATAATTTATCAGACTTTAGAGTGAAATTCATTTAAATGTTTTTATACCTTCCCAAGGATGTTCCATCACTTAAAAGAAATTGCGAACCAATGATGGTAACAATGAGATTTAATGGCGTGGTTGCAGCTAGAAAAACTGGACCCTTCTTCTTGATAACCCAACATGATAAGTAGTTCCCCAAGCTAATCACAAGAATTCCCTATGCCCAGTAAGTTGTAATACAGAACAAATTACATTCAGATTAGGTATCAACTTTCAATTTTACAAAATTTAGGACTCGTTTGGTAACGTTGATAGAAAAATGTATTGCATGGTTCAAATCTCTAAGAATTCAAGTAGGATATAAAACAATCTTTATTTATGTGATGAGAAACTGGTTTTGGTTGTTTCCAAAATTTCTATACATGAGAATCTTCCCAAAAAAGAAAAACAAGAAACAAAGTTAGTTTAAAAATAGTTAGATTTTTTAACAAAATTGGAAATTTATAACCTAATTACAGGGAAAACTTTATCAAGGTCCCGCTCGAGAATAATTTTCTTTAAAGTTTTCTATTTTTAAAAATATTATGTTTGCTTCCTCGTAATTTTTCTTTTTCTTTTCAATGTTTTTCATCATGTTTAAAAATGCATTTAAACTCTTAGTCAAATTTTAAAAATATAATTAGTTTTCAAATTTTGGTTGGGATGATTTTTAAAATTTGAAATTATTATTTATAGCTTAATTTAAAAAAAAATGATATATCGAAAATTAAAAATAAAGTAAAATAGTTCTCAAATGGAGATTTAAGCAACAATACTTATTTCATTTTGTTCCAACATAGGATATGAATAATAGTGGGTGTGTGAGATATTATCTTTAGACTTTAGTATTCTTTTTTTGAACACGATTAAATTTTTAATAAGTAGGAGAGAGAAACTTAGAAAGAGAATACTTTTGTTTTTCTATTTCTCATAAAATTAAAGAGCTATCAAATTTTAAATAGCYAACATAAAGATAGATCCTAACGTGAAGATAGATCCTAATGAGGTAATTAAGTACTTTTATGAGAATGAGCATAACCGAATTTTCTTTTCTTCTTCGTTCTGCCCTTAATTATTATAATTTAGAGACAAAAAGAGAGAAAAAAGAGAAGAGTGAGAGAGATGATACGCAATAAAGAACAGCAATGAGGCCAATGTTCCAACCCAACTTCCATTGAGAAGGGTCTCTTTCAACTGCAATGGCCACAATAAACAACTGAAAACTGCTTGACAAGGTTTGTCCACACGTTAACACAAGAGGGGAAGGGCAAGTCTTCATAATCAAAGCCTGAAAAATACAACACACAAATTAAAAATGGGAGCAAAGAAAGAAGTTTGTTGCAGTTTGACAAATATCATATAATATATAATTAGGGAACTAAAAGAGTCCATTTTGTAACATTTCCGCTCCTTGTTTCTCATTTCCAATTTTGTTAAGAATCAGTTTCTTGTTTTTCATTTTTTAGAAACATTCTCAAAATGATATAGTAGTTTTAGAAACAACAAGAACAAGTTTCTTGATTCGTATTCTCATTTATAATTTATTATAGTTTTACCGTACTTGAATTCATGGGTGTTGGAGGCCATACAATTCATATTTCTTTATTACAGACGAGGAAACAGAAACAAGTAATAGAAATGTTATTAAGGGTAAATTGAACTGATGACAAGATGAATTTACCTGAAGGACGTACCACAAGCCTGCTGAAGTAGAAGAAATGAGGAACATAAAGCAACCAAGAACCCAATTTTTGTGAGGAGAGGCATGAGATTGGGAATGGGAATGAGTTTCAAAAAGGTGATAATTGAAGAGTGGGTTCATGAAAGGGCCTTTGTAAAATGCAAGTACTAAGATCCCTGAAACGCACAGCATTAACCCTCCTACCTTTGCCATTCCACTTGCTTTCCCCACCTTCACTTTCTCCATCTTGTCTCAACATGTATCCGAATCCGAGTATAGTTCAGTAGATAAAATACTTATTATCTATTCTAATAAAAAATCGATGGTTCAATTCCTACCCACAGTTAGAACTCAAACAAAAGAAAAATAATAATAAGGTAATTAAGTGTTAGAGTACTACATCACTTTTGTAGTAGTTTTTTTAAAAAAAAAAAAAACACAAAGTATACGAATAATTGCTAAAATGGAAGATGATGGCATGATGGAGCTAGCGCGAATTTTAACCATGTTTCTCCAATTAGACAAAGTGATACAAAAAGTTTGCAATTGATTGGAAGTGGACGACATAATAATGCAAATTGGTAAACTGTCTCCAACATTATTTGTGTCCTTCGCTAGCTTTGTCATCAATTTTCAGCCAATTAAACTAATTTTTTAGAGATCTTGGGGAGTTATTAGGAGTCTAAGGGTGTGTTTGGAAGTAATTTTGAATATAGTTAAAATCACTTTTACCGTTGTCAAAATCACTTCCTTCTAAATTGATATGTTTGACAAATTCAAAAAATTGATATGTTTGACAAATTCAAAAATTGATTTTATAAAAGTTTAAAAATTACTTTAAATTAATTTTTAAGGCATCAAATCGAATGATGATTTTAGAAAATCAATTATACTTAAATCTCTTTTTTCAAAATTATTCATTCTAATCACTACTCCCTGACACTTACCCTGTATGAGTTGTACTATTCGTCGTGTTTAACCTGCAACTTCACGAGTTATCGGTTTTCTTCCCTACCAACGTATGAATTTCAAATTCTCTCTTTGAATTACAGGAGAAGAATGTGGAGTGGTACCTTAGAAGAACAGCAAACAAGAATGTGGTAACAGGAAGACAATTAAATGCTGCAGCACCCAAAATTGCAGTTGTGTAATTAACACCTAACGCATAAGCAATCAAAACCAACGTCCTCCTGCACTTTTTGTATACATAAAACAATGGAAAAGATCTTCCAGAGAAGGGAAAAAAACCCAATTTTAGAGAAGAAAAATACTTATAATTGTTCAAATTACCCTATCAAGGCCAGCATGAAAATCTTGCAAATCTCCCCAAGTGATAAACGTGCTACTTCTTTTCTACAATCCATGAAGAAGGAATAATCAAATTTTGAGCTTTTCAAGAACTTCTCTTTTTTTCTAAAACAGAATCGTTACCGGACAAACCCGAATGAATTTAGTTACCTTTTGAAAAAAATGGTGGGAGGGAGTAGGAAGAGAATTCCAAAAGCTTGCCTGTAGAAAATGAAGATATAGTTATTCATACCAGAAGCAAAGGCAGCTTTTGATAACATGCTCATTCCAGCATAAGTGATTTGGACAATAATGGCAGCAATTAAAGGCTTCTTTGAATCCATTCTCGTAATGAATTTCCTTCTGTTGTTTGTTGTTTAACTATATATATAACCAACAACAAAGACATTCACTATTCAACAAAAAGAAAATAGCCAAATAAAAGCATCTGCCTTTTAAATTTTTGATCTTAATAAAAGTAGATTTTTCTGCATCACATGTGTTGTTGATGATTGATCAGTTGAAATTCAATCGTTAGTGGTTTGCTCTCCAATTTCTATTTTCTTTAGAAATTTCAGTCTTTTTTTTTTTAAGAATACTGTCAATTCTATGGATAAAAATCAAATCTAGGACTCAAGAATTTATGAATGTTTTGATCGGATGAACAATATACTCAAATGCCATAAGTATATTAAGATTAGCAGGCTTATTAATACAGAATTGACCTGTTATCATTTTTTACATTGAATTTTTGTTTTCTTATCAATTCTTTTTTGTTTTTTTCTTTACATAAGTGGATTCCATTGCATCACATATGTTGATTTTAATTGGTAGATTGTCTAGCAATTTCCGTTTTCGTTGAAAAATTTAGTATTTAAGATGAGGTTCTTTAAATGTTGGTCTTTTATGTTATGATTTTTGCCCAATAACTTCTCCAATTCTTATTTTTCGTGTTGCGTCAAGTGATTCAATAGATTTTCTATTGGTTAATAATGACTCCATATATCGAATGAGTTTAATTTTGTTTCTATTTCGGTCATGTTAACATAGTTTAGCTAAAATAATTTTGAAAATTGAGATGGTATGTTAGTTAAAACATAAAAGGAGAACAAAATTAACATAGAACCTTGCCCGAATTGAGTACAAAAGGAGAAGAATGTGAAGAAGCTATTGTTTCTATAATAGAGGTTTAAGACAAAATTAGGTTTAATTTTGATTGTATGTGTTTGATATACTTGCCATATGTAAATGATATATATCTAACATACCATTGATATAAGTATCTGTGCAATATATATGTGATATACATCTAATATACTACGTGAAAATTTTTGTTGTATTTGAAAGTCTAAAAATAGGTGAATATTTTGAAATACATAGAAATTTTTGCTACCACTACAATTTCCTTATTTATTATTATTAGTTACCACTACAATTTCCTTATTTATTATTATTAGTTTTAGTTCAACAAGTATAGAGAGGATAAAATTATCAATTTTAAGGTTGATAAAAAGTGATCCACGCGACATAGCTATGAGTTCAACATGCTTGAATTTTGAAAGAGTGACTAACAAGTAAAAACTTCTTACACGAAGTCATGCAACAAAATATCTTTGCACCAATCATATTTTTAGCGACAAGACACTTTACAAGGTATATCATAGCAATTCAACAAAAAAATTTTAAAACTTTAGAATGTGCCAAATAAAAGTACAAAACAAAATATACCAATATAAAGAAACTGTCGTCAAAGGAAACTTTTAAAAGATTTAAAAAGTTATATTAAGTATATTTTTCTTTGTTAATACAAGGGGATGAGAATTCGAACTCAGATAAATACGTCTAACTTGGAAAACTTTGTGCTATTATTTATGAATTTTTTAAATAAATTTTAATTGAAAGTATCGACCCAATAAATTATAATGATTCTAAAACAAGTTTAACAATTAAGAAAATCTATAAAATCATTTTATGGACGAAGTTAATTTAAAAAAACAAAACAAAAAAAGCAAAGAAATAATAATAATGGGACTGGATCATTAGGAACCCAACTAAAATGAACATATTAGTTTACTCCAGCAGGTTTCACAAGCAGGGTAAACTTGAAAGAAGCCAAGGGCAAGAAATGTTGAGACTTCTCGAAGGCTCGAAAGGCAGTAGAAAGATTTAAATTCCATAGAAAGTTTATGACCGAAAACTGACACTAATATTTCGCATACAATAAATATTAACATTAATGTTCTTCTCAGGGAAAACTTCAAAAAGAAAATTGGAAAAAATATATATTTAGAAAAAGCATCACAATCACTCCTCTGCTACAAATATCCTACTAAAAAGATATGGTTGAACCACAGATGACAGAACAGAACAGATTCTTTTTGCCCAAATCTGGATGGTCACCAGCAATTGTGAGCTTCCAACAGGCCATCGTATGAATATGGAGAATCATAGTGGATGAAATGAGTTGAGATACAACAAATGGTAACACAGTCCCCCTTCAAATAGACAGACCCCCCTTCCTTGACACTAGCTTTGACGCCAACCAATCTCAGTTCAACATTACATGACACAAAAAAGCCAACTAAAGCGAAATAACTCACCATCATCAAAGAAATTGACCAGCTCAGAAGCACTTCCTGTGGACAATGGATGGGCCGGATTCGTCATATTCGCCCTTTGAAATCCACATCTGAGAGAACAAGACGGATCAGGGGTTATTGTCATTCGTGAATTAACAACAGAATAATATAGGGACAAGTAGTGTGCAGCGACTCAAAAATTTACCTGCTGGAAGGTGCTTAGAGATGCAAGAATGGACCCTCCAATCCAGACACTGTATTTCCTTTCTGGTGGAGCAACAACCTTGATCTTCATGCTGCTAGGAGCAAGGGCTGTGATTTCCTTGCTCATTCTGTCTGCAATGCCAGGGAACATGGTTGAACCACCACTGAGAACGATGTTTCCATAAAGATCCTTTCTGATATCTACGTCACACTTCATGATGGAGTTGTAGGTTGTTTCATGGATTCCAGCAGCTTCCATGCCGATGAGCGATGGCTGGAATAAAACTTCTGGGCAACGGAATCTCTCAGCTCCGATGGTGATGACTTGTCCATCAGGCAGTTCGTAGTTCTTCTCAATAGAGGAACTGCTCTTTGCAGTCTCAAGTTCTTGTTCATAGTCAAGAGCAACATATGCCAGCTTCTCCTTCATGTCACGGACAATTTCCCGTTCGGCAGTAGTGGTAAACATGTAACCTCTTTCAGTGAGAATCTTCATCAGAGCATCAGTGAGGTCACGACCAGCAAGGTCCAAACGGAGAATTGCATGAGGGAGGGCATAACCCTCATAGATGGGAACAGTGTGACTCACACCATCACCAGAATCCAGCACAATACCTGTTCAAAGTAGGTTGTTCAATACAATACCAAATTATATAAGCTCAAAATCACATCATTGCCAATCAAATAGAATACACATACATACCAGTTGTACGTCCACTAGCATAGAGCGAGAGAACGGCCTGGATGGCAACATACATGGCAGGCACATTGAATGTCTCGAACATGATTTGGGTCATCTTTTCTCTGTTAGCCTTTGGGTTGAGTGGAGCCTCAGTAAGAAGCACAGGGTGCTCTTCGGGAGCAACACGAAGCTCATTGTAGAATGTGTGATGCCAAATCTTTTCCATGTCATCCCAGTTACTGACTATACCATGTTCAATGGGATATTTCAAGGTAAGGATACCTCTTTTAGATTGAGCTTCATCCCCAACGTAGGCATCTTTTTGGCCCATCCCAACCATGACACCGGTGTGTCGGGGACGACCAACAATACTGGGGAAAACTGCCCTCGGAGCATCATCACCAGCAAAGCCAGCCTGCACCATAAGGCCTTAAACTTTAGGATTAAAATAATTGTATAAATTCCTTTGGGAAAAGAACTGAAAATGCACAAAGAAACAATGGACACAACCAGAACATGAACACAAGAATACAGGACAGAAGAACCGACCTTCACCATTCCAGTTCCATTGTCACAAACAAGTGGCTGAATATCCTCAGCGTCTGCCATCTTTTTCAAGAACTGCACAAAACATTATAAAATGAAAAGTTGAAAAACTAAACCATAAACCAATCTAGTACTCATACGTCCCAGGCATCTTAAAACGTCCATTTGCAGCCCATAAATACAGAAGTCAATGTACTACTTAAAAAAATGGCAAGACAACAACATATCAAACCAGTAATCCCAACTGGAAATTATTATCTTAAACAAGATCTCACAACCAGAAACGATTAAAATCCCAGTTTTCGTAGAAACACAAGCTGACAATAAACTCTAATAACATCCATTTTCAGATCAAGAAGTTACCCAAACCGATCTGAGAGTGAAGGTAACACAAAGCAGAGAACAACGTAACTACACCAGAAAGACAAAATAAAGAAGCATCAAAAACCAGATCAGACAACCAAAGACCAAAACACTTCCTCCATCCACCATAACGCTCTGACAACAACTAAATAAACAAGAAATGAACAAAAAACACACATTATTCACCACAAAACCCTCCAGCTATGTCCGATTACAGAATTGCATGCAGAAACAAAAAGCAACGCATCTCCAAATCCTAGATCTCGGTCTTAGAAACCCAAACAGTTAAAAATCGAAGCCAAAATTTCAGATCAGCCAACGAGCACAAAGGAATCAGACATCATCACTAGAATTCCAAAAGCAAAAGATGACTCACAGATCACAAATACCATCAGCGACAAAAGAATCAGGGAAATTCAGATCGAAGTTCACATAACAGATAGAGATACAGCGAAATCATACAAATACTAGAGTAAAATGAAGAATGCAAGTGAGAAGAAGAAGATAAAACGAACCTGAGATTGAAGAAATGGGAAGCCAACCTCCAAAGACGAAGGTGTGGCTGTGAGTAAAGTCGACCTAGCTGTTGAATTGAAAGTGTGGGAATAAGGGGAAGAAGAAAGGGCAGAGGGGATGGGGTTTATAAATAGAGAGAGACGGGAAATGCAAATGCAAATGAAATTCGGACCAAATGACGAATTTATAGCCGCGAAATGGAGGAATCATTTCCACCACGAGAAAAGATAGGGTGACCTGGCTGACAGCCTTTCCCAGCCCCATGTTCGCCTTCTCCATTTCTCATCTCCGCCGTTCGATCTTCTCTCCGGCTCGGCTCGGCTTCATGTCATTTTTTTTTTTTTTCAAGAATGCTTCAAATTGGAACTCCAAATTTTCAAATTTCAAAATTAAAAACCACAGACTGAGAGAAAGAGAGAGAGAGAGAGAATCGGTTTCATTTTTTCAGAATTGTTTTTGTTTTTTCTGTTTTCGCTTTCATTCATCTCTTGTGGTGTGTTTGCCACTGTAGAATATCAAATTTTGTTTATCCACACAAAAAAAAGCCCCCAATTTAATTGGAGTATTATAATTCAAATAATGAGTGAAAGGAAAACTTGCATTATTTACAACTGGGAAAATGGAATTAGCAAATTATTGTTATGTAGATATATTGATCTAAAAAAAGATGGTCTATTATTCAGTTTATCCTTTCTCTTTTTCTTTGGCTTTTAATAAAAATCTGTGACTATTAATCCTGAGGCAAATGGTAGTAATATAAAGTTGTTATTTTTTACATAAATTGTTGTTTTATAAGAGTAAATAACTAAATAATGAAATTAAAAATTAGAAACAAAAATCGGTAGCAAATAGGGAAAAGAATTTTTAACTTAAAAATGATTTAACGTAGTATCATTAAAGGTAAGACTAAAAGCACGTTTAATTTTTTCGGTAGCGTATAAGACTTTCTATTTTATCAACGAACTAGAAACAAACATAAAGAGTTATAGGATTTTAAAACTTGTGTGTTTGGTTAGAYTTTGTTGAAATTTATTTCAATCATAAATTTGTTTAGCTGCAAAATTGCATCTAAAAGTGATTCTTTAAACGTCAAATTACCATAAAAAAATCCTCGGTCAATTACTTTATGGGAAATCAACGACTTTTAAGTAAATTCTTCAAAAAATAATTACAAAAGAAAAAAAAAAGCTCTTTTGACCACCCCTTCATAATCACTCGAAAAGTTAATCGAAGCACGCTATGAATCAAAAAAAAATTGTTGGAGACATGGACAAAGACATGGCCTAATTACTATACAAAGAGTGAAGGTTGGGGACAAAGTTGAAAGATGAAGAATGAGTTGAAACAAATGAGAGTTTGCAAGCAAGGGACAGTCAAACACCTACCCTTTCCATTTAAGTCCAACCTGATCACTATTTAATTTGAATTTGACGATGTGTTCTTCCATTAACAGTATCTAAAACAAAGAAAAAAAACAGTATTATGAACTATGAAAAAATATGACTTATTTAAAACTCATTACAGTTAAAAGATTTTGATTTTTCTACCTAATTTGAACTGTCAGTATTTGAGTTGAATAATATTAAGTTAAAAAATACATTTGGTCCCTAAGTAACCATTTAGTTCTTAAACTTTAGTTTATAATCATTTAGTCTTTGTATTTTCCATTGGTAATAATTTAGTAATTCGTCTCTATAGTTTAACATTGGTAACAATTTAGTCTCTAATTGTACTAAAAAATCTTATTAAAATTAAGAGTAAACTTTTATCATATCATGATTTAGTCTTTTGTAATTTATAAATACATTTGGTCCCACATCAATTTATCGATCTACATACATAAGGGAAAAAAATCACAATAGTGACTAAATCATTATATACTTTAAACAACATTGACTAAATTATTACATATTAAAGTTCAAGGACTAAACCGCTATCAATTTGAAAGAAAGAAAAAAGTACATAGTTCAGGGATTAAGTTATACCCAATTTGAAAATACATGGATCAAAAGTATTTTTAACATATATATTTGAGCCAATTGAACTATGTACAGGTTGGCGAGATAAAAGCATATTCCTGAAAAGTATTTATCTTTGGTATTTTGAATAATTTTCCATTATTTGTAAGATGCTTCTCACCTTATAATATTAATAATATACATGAGGTGATTTTGAAAATCAAAATCAATGTTTGAGCTTTACTCTCTCTTTTTAGGGCATGTTTGAGCTCAAATACAAGACAGAAGGTTTAGAATATTATTATTTAAATTTATTCTTGCTCACAAGTCACAACACCTCTAAATTAATGTTGAGTTTGGCGGTGGTTTATCCATAACAATTTTATTTTTCATCTTTTTAAAAGAATAAGTTTGTTTAATTCTAATGTTCTTTATATATTATATACTTTTATAGAAAAATAAAATTTTAAAAAAGCTTATAAACTTCCTTTTTCTTTGAGCTAAAATCACTCTCGTAGAATTCTAGTGGTATACATACCACTTCCATGACAATCCTCTTATTTTTTTCGTTTATAATGCAACATTTTTCTTTAAAAAAATATATTGAAGACTAATTTGATTCTTTTAAGGAAAATGAAGTTTAAAATTCTCATTTATCTCAAAAATTTATGAGGGTGTGCTAAATTTAATTCTTCTAAAAAAAAATTATATATTGAGAAGCTGAACTGATATATCAATGTAGTATTTTTTTTTCTTTTTTGTAAATTAATATTGGTGAATAATGTTAATAGAAAAAATGTGTAAGTATAACTATTAATTAGATTTAAAAAGATTCAAAATATAATATAAAATGTTCTCTCCATAGATAGTACAAAGTATAAAGTGAGAGATGAGACTTTTTATAGTAGGTGGAGCTCCTAAAATTTTTCCAACAAATTGATATATGAAATTATCCTCTTTCCTCGAATAAGATTACTATGATAGGGTTATAACTTATGAATTAGAAATATTTTTAGAATATTCAAAAGTTGAAAAAAAGAATAAAGACACATGATGTGAAGAATAATTCCCAAAATGAGAGGAGTGGACCAATTCCCATTTCCATTCAATCTTTCCAAAGGGATATTACGAAAGCATTTAACTTTTTTTTTTTTTTTTTAAGGAGGTTGCAAAGTTATTTTTGTGACTTAAAATATTTCATGCTTGCTTTTAAGAATTGCATGTGCAAACATGTGCTCAATGTCTTCCAATATAAACTGTCAGTGGAAATTGTTGGGAAGTTTGGTTGGGACTGACTTTTTTATTATTATTATTATTAATTTTTAAGTTTTTTTTTTTTCTGAAAATAGATCTGCTTAAATCATTATGACATGCCACATTTCAAAAGAGGAGGGATTTACACTTTTGAGAAGCCAACTCTAAATTTAAAATTTGACTATTTTGTTCTCTTAGCTTATTTAAACAATGTTGCCCTCTTAGTGGCAAACCATTACTTTGATTATCATGTATTGACTTCTGTTTATTTATTTATTTTGGCTAAGGTGAAGTTTGCATAATTTCCCAATTTAATTAGTTATACTCGAGTTGTCTAGGTTGGACTCCTGCTTATTAATGGTACAATACTTTTTTCAATAAACGAGCATTGAAAATTATTATATTGAAAAAATAAGTAATTGTGTTTCATAAGAAAAATAACAGTAGGTGAAAGACTTTAAATAAATCTGAGTTATAATCGTACCATTACGAAAGAGTTAAAAAATCAATAATAAAAACAATGAAGAAAAGTAAGAGAACAAAAGGATAAGAAAGGGCCATATTGGCTCGGCTGGTTATTGTGAGAGACTATTTGGAAAAAGAATGCCATTTATAGGTTTAAGCTTCCAAAAAAGTACTAAAATCATCCTGAAGTTAGGATAAATATATATAAGATTATTTCAAAAAAATTTGGTTAAACAATCCTAACTTAAAATATAGGGATAATTTATCGAAATATTCTTACTTTTTATAGAGGAACATGATGTTGGACACAACACACCCCAAGTATCTAAAATATTCGTAAACAAAGCATTCTTCATTTTTTATATGCAACAGTTTGATATTCATTAATTAAATTGAGTTGGTTAGCTAAGCCCTAGCTCTCACAAGTTACAACATGATGAACATATCGTACTATTGCTCTTAGAATATCGTACACTATTGACATAATTTTTGTTGATACTAATGAGCCTTGGACACATCTACAACTAAAATGAGAACAACGAAGATTCTTTTATTATATGAATACTTGTCTTAAGGGCTCATTAACAAAATATTTCAGGTTTTATGTGCAAAAAATAGATATTAATTACCACATAGCAACTCAACTAAACTATAACCAATGAGTTCTATATGGCCTATTTAGTTTATTTTTTCCAATCTCATTAATTAAAATTATTAGCCCCACTGGATCATGTTAACCCATTTGAGATTTTCAAAGATTGAATATAGTTCAAAAAGTACATAATGGCCTTCGAGCAAAAAGCTATTCAATTACGTTTCATTATATATTAATTAGTTGCATCACATGTCTATATAAGTTATATTATTATTTCCATTAATAAAGAGTCACATCTTTCGCAAAAACATTAACAGTAATTGGTATGTACTACTTTCCTTGAGGTCAGAAATCCGATCCTCATATTTCTCCAAATTATTTTACTCAAGAAAAAGAAAGAAAGGGGAAAAGTCTTTTTCCAAGCACCATCAGTACCTTCTACCCACACACTCTTAAACAATAGAGGGTACCAAAAAGAAACACAAAAAGGGATTATGAGGTRTGTAAAATTAAAAGGTTTCTTCGGCAACCCTAAATATAAGGATTAGCGACTAAACTAGTAGCGATAGATTTGAAATATAAAATTTCTAAAAAATATTAAAATACAAAAAATCACAAAAATGCATGTGTATATCTATACTATTTGAATTGATCATGAAATAATCAAACTCGTATTTTTATTTAAAAGAAAACTATGGAACTCAATCTAAATTTAGAAAAGAAAAAATAATTACATAAATGAGTTGCATTGCCTTGTGGGTGTAACATCAAGGCTAGGGAAGGTAGAAGTAAATTAGAAGCAAAGATTACTTTATGTTGGGTTTGGTAGTCTATATATTGTGTTTTGTTAGG